CTTCGTTTGAACCCTGACGGCCATCGGTCAAGGTTCAAACGGGTGAGAGATGGCCTTGAAGATCCCTGTAGGACCCAGGGCTCGTTGTCCTACAGGGATATGTAAGTCGATTCCCGGGGTCGGGGTAGACGGGCCCCGCCCCGCGAATCGGGGCCAATCCTGATGGCGGACCAGTCGGTCCGATCTCCGACTGCTCTTTTCCTCCACCAACCACCAACTTCCAACTCGATCACCCATCGATCGACCCAGACCCACCCAACGCCACTCACCCGAGCACCCGAGGAACACCCGAGCACCCCGAGCTACCCCTGAACCCCCAAATCCCGCAAATCCCTAGTAAACACACGCACGCTGTAAGACTCAAAAGTGGTGATGAAACCCTTTTGCTGAATGGAGAAGGGGATGATGGAGTTGCAAGCTCTGCCCTTCTATGCTATCAGAACAACAAGACCACCAAGCTTAGCTTGGCAGTTATATTTATCGTGATAGAGGATAGTTCAAGATGAAGCTTCCGAGTGATGTGTATAAGGTCTGAAGTTATAAATGAGTGATGATTATATTGATGAAGATGTTGTTCAAAGCTTTAAAACCAAGGCTTGGAGCTCTGGGAGCACTATGCTTCAACCAGTAATGGTATGTGAGGCAGGTTATGGGCACTTGGCACTTGTTATGATGATGAAAGTGTTATGATTGTATTTCAATATAATGTATTGTTATGGCTGTCACTTGTATATAATCTGTAAGGGTGGTTGAGATGATCTGGTCCACTGGTGGGATGATGGAGGGAACAACTGGCAGGCAGAGGCCTCCTTATATAGACAAATGTGAGGGATTTTAGCCCCAGGGTACAGGCTTTTGAGGCATTTTAGCTGGCCTGAAGATCCAATGAGGGATTTTAGCTAGTCTAGTACATGCAGGTGAGGGAATTTGGCTGGTGAGAGCACTGCCTTGAGGGAATTTAGCTAGCCTACAAGGTCCTACTACAAAGGAATGCATGTGCACCTACAAAGGAATTCAATATGCACTATGTGCCAATAAAGGAATTCAATACAACACAAAGGAATTCAATATTCAATATGCATGCAGTATTCAAAACAAGCCATACTGAGAGTAAAGAATCCAAGAGACATCCCGTGACAGGTTGAAATCTGTGTAACTTCTAAACCATGAGAGATATGGGGTCAGTTGTAGTGGGTGACTAGGGTTAATTTTACCTGAGAATTCCATTTCTGATGTTATTTTTATGATATATTTAGTTTATAAAGAGATAATAATAAATTTTTATATTTTTCTGCGTAGAAACACAGTATTATTTACCACATCCTCCCCCAACTTATTGGCTGTCCCCAGTCAATTCTAATTTTTACTGTGTTTTGTAGCTAATTTTACAAACAATGAAAGATCCCCCGTGGTACGTGTATTTTAAGGGCTTGAGCAGTGTTGATTGATGTCAAAGTGGCCAGAGAAAAAATTTGATTTGACCAGCAGTGAAGTTCTGATTGCAGCAGGAAAAAAAATATCTTTGCTTGTTGTCTTTGTTTTATGTTATTTTTTTTTATTTTATTTTCATCAAGTACTGGGATTGAATTTTGTGTAGTGGTACATACAGTTTTGGAGAAAAAAACTTAGGAAATAATTGGTGTTTCTGACAATCTTGCTGAGAAAGAAAAACATTGGTCCAGGGATGCAATGGGTGTGACACAAATAATGGTCAGAGTGATAATTCATTCAACCCTGACATTGTCCTGTGCATGGTGTTGTTGTACCACTTGACTAGCGTTGCATTTGCATTTCCCGTTGGTTTGGCATTCTGATGGTTTGCGCCGTAGTCACGATGTATTGGCCCTGTCACAGGTGTGACAGGGTCCGATCCGATCGGCAATGGGGGTGTCTTCTCTCCGTGGGTATCTTCCCTTCTCCTTTCGGTCAATCAGTCCTAATCTTGGCTTTGCATTTGATTCGACTCGACTGATCCGCCATTCTATCTTGATTCCGATTGCGCCACAACTCGAACGACCCGTTTCTTCGATCTTGGATTCAACTTTGGCATGACTTGAACGACCTGTCATCGTGTATCCATCTCGACAGGTGAGCTGCTTTGTTTTCTTCTTTTCTTCTAGTTTATTTTCCGCTAGCTGATGGTTCCTGGATTCTAGACAGCGCCTAAGTATGCGTCTCCAATATTCCCCAGCCACTAGATCTTGGAAATAATCAACCGACTCCGTTTCTTCGATCTTGACGCTGAATCTTGACTTCAATTCAGCCACAAACTCCAATTATGATCCTTCTCGTAGGGTAAGCTAAACTTGATCTTTTGTTGCTTGTCTCTTCTTAATTGTTAGATTGCTTTTCTAATTGTTGTTCTAAAAACCCTAGTGGATCTGTCATAGATACCATCATTTTCAATTCATCCGATGCCGTGGGTCGTCAACATCCTTGGCCGACCTCCTTGTTTAATTCCGACAATCCTCGACCGATCCGATTTTGATCTTTGCTAGATTGACCCCGCGTCTCAAATTCCAAAACAGCCCGCATGAACCCATACCTATCTGATCTTAGTCCGTAACTAGATTTGTTGCTAGTTCTTGTTTGTCTCCGGTGAGTTTGATCGTGTCTTCTTAGCCATTTCCAGGTATAAATACGGATACAACTCCATCCAACATTTTCCTTCTCCATCATTGCTCCTCCTTCTTTTCTTCACTCGATTGACCTCTTCTCTTTTAATTTGTCTTTGGTTTTCCTCCTTTTCTAAATTCAAACTCATTGGTAATCATTCTTGATGAGTAAGCAGTCCCATAACATCCTAGAGAGAGATCATCGGTCGAAGCAAGCCTAGAGATAGTGGAAGTCGCCACCATCCTATTGTATCCAAAGTCCTCCATCACACCGCCTCTTCATCGGTCTCCTTTGTTGTTCTAGTCGCGTCCAGTAGAGATGGGCCCGGCGCATCCGGATATCCGTTCGGATTCGGATATCCCCTCACGTTTTCAGCCAAATCAGACATCCGCATCCGCATCCGCATCCCCTGGCGGATACCCGCTGGCCCTGGCGGGTATCCGCGCGGATACCCGCGGATATCCGCCCCAAAAATGACCCCCAGGCTGCAAAATGAAAGTTTCTTGGGGAAATTTCAGATGCAGAAAGCTGCATAAACACTGATTTTGAATTTCTTGCGGCCTTCAAGCCTTCAATTTATTTTTATTTTTTCAACTTTTTTTCCTTTGCTGCTTGCAGCCTGTGACCCTCCAAAAAATATGGAAAATGGAAAAAATTATATTTCTTTTTGCTTTTGAATTTTTTTTTGTTGAGCAGTTGGCAAAGTGGTTTTAAGTTTTTGTTTTTTATTTTTATTTTTTTTTATTTTTTATTATTTTTTATTATTTTTTCCTTTTGTTGCTCACAGCCTGTGACCCTCCCAAAAATATGGAAAAAATCTAATTCCTTTTTCCTTTGCAATTTTTTTTGTTTCTTGCAGCTAACTCATGTAAATTTTTACAGGATTAAATTTCATTATTTTTTGAAAATGGATGGTTATATCAACTTTGCATACAAATAAAACTGGTATACGGTACAAATGATCATAATTTGTATAATTTAATTATGCAATAAATGGGGGTATACTCATATATTAAGATTGAAGCTTTCATTTCTTGTCAAAATAAATGATACCATAAGCTTTGACACTACTCAAAGTGTAGTAAATAAATTCAAAATTTCAAAAAATGATGGAAATTAAGCTGGCAAAATTAATTAAAATAAATTAAGGGAAAAAATTTACAATGTCAAAAAAAAAATGAAAATTAATTATTAATCTGTCAAGAATTAATTGAAAAAATGTGTCTAATTGCATTATTCAAAAAGAACCATTAATTTTTATGTAAAATGCTTTTTACCATTGAATTCTATGCACTTTAAAACATAAGAAATAAATTTAAAATTTCAAAAAATAATAAAAAACAAGCAGTAAAAAATTAATTAAAAAATGTGTCTGCTGTGCAGTGTGCGCAGCAAAAACCATGTTTTTTTGTTAAGGCCCCATTTTTTCTTTTATTTTTCCTTTTTTCCATTTTTTCTTCTGTTTCTCACAGCCTGTGGCCCTCCCAAGGCCTCCTGTATGGGCGGATATCCCTTGGGATACCCGGATATCCGCCAGGATTCCAGGGGGAAGGGGGCATCCGCACCCGAATCCGCACCCGCTGGCGGGTATCCGTTGGCACTGGCGGGTATCCGCCAGCGGATAACGGATATCCGCAACGGATTATCCGCGACCATCTCTAGCGTCCAGTCTACCGTACTCCCAGGCCTTCGCGAATTCATTCGCAATTGGTTAATATAGCTGTTTGCTTGTTTCCATAAAGCTGGGCCATCCGAGTAAGTAAATCCTATCATGTTGTCCTAGTCATTGTTCTTGATACATCCTCGTCATCAATTTGCGAGTAGTTGATTGATTTCTACAGTATTTATGTTGATCCCTCCAAAAGCTTGCCGTTTCCGTTGTTGACCTAGTTGCTATTGATTCCAAAGAATCCTAACCTTTGGAGTTGAATCACGATCAAGCCAGTACCCTCCCAGAGCTGCTTGGCCCATTGGAAAAAAACTTTGAGTGGGTTGTACTTGATTGACAGATCATGTTCTGGAGCTTCTCATTGATCCAAACAAAAGCCATAGGCTTTGACCGATTCGCATCCTTTCTCCAAGACTCCCAGTCTTCAGACTTCATTGGCGATTAGATTATAGAGTGTGTAGGTGTTTTCTTTGTGCCGATCATTTAAAACTACTTCTGATTGCATCCGGTGTCTTAGTCGATGATCCAAGCAAAAAATAAATAAATAAATAAATAAATAAAGGTCCGGACTCCAAGTGGCTACTGATCTAAAGTGATTCCTGGCCTTCACAGTTGATTCGTGATCAGCCTATAAAGTACTAGAGCTCCTTCATGCCCATTTCGCGATCTGTTCACTACTATCCTGATTGATTGGAGAAGGTGAATGAAAAAATGAAAAGAAACTTTGAAGAAAAAAAAAAAAAAAAAAAAAATCAAGGAAGATGATAAACTACACCCCTCCCCCAACTTATGAGGTTGTCCTCAACCTTTTAGAAGATTGTGTTTTTGCAGTGAGTCTAAGAGTAAGTGATTGAAAAAAAAGTAAGTGATTTGAATGATTTAGAGAATAAAAAAATTGAGCAGAGAGATCATAGATGAAGAGATGAGTGTCTCTTGGCTGAAAATTGTAGAGATAAGAAAAAAAGAAAAGAAAAAAGTGAGGATAGTAAAAATGTGAGTCAAGTATGAAATATTCCTCCCCCAACTAATGAGTTTTTCCTCAACTTTTAACTTAAAAAAACTGCTGAAGGTGATAAGTAAGTGATTGAGAAAATTGATTTATTGAAGGAAGAAGAAAAAAAAAAAAAAACCCAGGCAATGATATGAGATGATAAAGAAGAAATGAAACAGACACTGCATCCAGAAAAGAGTTTGAGATAGTAAAAAATTGATAGAAAGTAA